TACATATTAGTAGATACCAATGTTTATTTGTTGTCCTGAGTAAAACAAAGACGAGTTATTGTATCTCTTCAGGACCCCACTGCTCCAGGCCCTCATCGGTTTCTTTGAGCTTCCTGAAGATGACAGCATCCCAGACGATGAGCACTTCATTGACATCGAAGACACACCGGGCTATCAGACTGCCTTCTCACAGCTGGCCTTTGCCGGGAAGAAGGAGCACGACCCAATTGGAGATGCTGTTGGCAATCCAAAAATCCTGCTGGCCCAGTCACTGCACAAGCTTTCTACTGCCTGTCCTGGAAGGGTAAGTTCACAAATGCAGGTAGTTTTGTTCTTCTTCTGGTTTGATTCATTGTGTTTGGAATCCAAGAATTATCACTTTGGAAACCATATTGATAAACATTGTACTTTTTTCCCCCCCTCTGTGCAGGTTCCTTCAATGCTGAGCACGAGTCTGAATGCAGAAGCTCTCCAGTTCCTGCAGGGCTACTTACAGGCGGCTACTGTGCAGCTGGTTTAAAACCAAAGCAAAATCTCAGTACCCTGCAGGAATAGCCACAATGACCCCCCCGGTCATATGACAGACCTGCTTCAGTTGAACTCGAGACCTGAAAGTTAAATGGATTTACCAGAGAAGTAAATTTTGCCTGAATTTAGGGTGTGTACTCCAATGGAAGTCATTTTAAGGTTTTTCTTTTAAGAAAAGGAAAAAAGAAACGACCAAAACTGAATTACTTTAAGATATCGGGGCCTTTTTCTTTTCATGTGATAAAGGCTAACAAGGATTTGAATGTCAGGTTGTGAAGCACTTACCAGTTTATTTCAAAAACATCAGCAACAGCAGCAGATGTAAAAATAAATAAAAGAAATTGAACGTGTGGGACGCTGAACATGTATTTCAAACAGGAGGGTTTAAATCATTTCTTTTGTATGTTTGACTTCCTTTTTACGGTTATGAGGCTGTAGTCTGTGGCTCAAACATAAAGCTTAATATTTTTCTGTTGCATGTTTCCCTTCATTTGTTAATGTCCATTTTGTTGTTTCTGCACTGTTTGTTAATGTGAATAAAAAGAGGCACTTGTATGGATCTGTTATCACTGCAGTCGCTATTCTATCCACACTGTTGTGAATTGTTTTTATTTCATTTGCGAGGCCCTTTAGCATCAGCAGTGGATACTTAAGCAGCTCAGCATTCACGACAAATTGCTTCATACAATTTTGCCTTTGGGAAGTCCTGGAAAAAACAAAGGTAAGCAGATCTTCAGAATATTATAAAGACACCATCAGAAACATTAGCACAATTTGGTATGGCCGTTGGAGGTCTTCATTTCAATGTTCTTGATGAATGGTAGCATGCACTTGTCGCCTCCCATGAAGCGATACGTTGCAACATTTGCCTCCCAAGGTAGTAAGCTAGAAGGAAAAAAAGAATGAACTTTGTTTTAAAACTGGGATTTTTTTTCCCTATTGGGTATGCAGTGCTAAATGGTTGCATTCACATAATAAAACTCAACAAAAATTAAACCTCTTTCCTGTAATGCAACTCCAGCAAACATTCAGGTACGCTGTGATAAATTCCAGACTTTTTTAACTGTTCCAAGCCTTTATTTAGAAGTACAATAGATTTCGAAAGGACTAAGTGCTTATAGCGTTTGCTTTATAGTTGGTTGCTTTATACCAGGAGTCAAGCATAAGGCCCAGGGGGCTTAATCAGCCCAGCAAAGGCTCCAATCTGATCCACTATTGACAGCTTTGGAAAATGTGAAGAAGGGCATGAGTTTCAGACCTTTAAAATGCATTTGAATAGGTTTAACAGCTTTTTCATGCTGATAAAATAATGAAGTAAAAGATAAGCAATTAAAAAACAGCCAAATTTTTACAATGTGTCCACAGTAGGATATTTCCCGTAAAGTAACAGAAACTTCCTTTTTTAAATTATAGCACAGTGTGTGCAATGAGCTACCACAGCTGTTTGATTTTTTATTTATTTTTTTACACATTTTTCTCTGACAGTTTAACCCCAAAGAGTTATGCTGACTGATTCCTTTCATTTACTACAGAAGCATTTCTTTATCATGTAGAAAAGCTGAGGAATATTGTTTAGACGTCTCAGGGATTAAATGTGTAGTTTTACCGTTTTCAGTAGCAGACAGGATAGCCTCACTGGCCCCGCCCTATTTAGATCATCATCTCATTCAAAATATGTTTGACATCAGTGCTCTATACGGTCTCCATGAGAATAATAACTCTTGAAAAGGGATATGGGATGGATCATCGACAATTTTCTGAACCTGATGAACAACAGCTTTCTCATATTTTGGTTTGAGAGACCGGTGTTCTTTGTTTCCTGTGATTTTCATGGCAATTTTTACCTGTTTCTCAATTGTTGATTTTGACTTTACTGTAAGTAAACTTTAGAGCTCACGCCAAACAATCTGCGCCTATGAGGCAATTTTTCACATTAAAAAAAACAAACAACAAAAAAAATTTAACATTGTGTCAATATAGATGCCCAAGTACTTATATGAGCTAACATGCTCTATTGTACATCCATCAAGAAATGGAAAACAAAAGCCCCATATTAATTTAAGCCTTGATAAAAGCAGCTGATCATGTCATATAATCCACTTAGTACTTACGCTCTTGCAAGAAAGGGGATGTACATAAGACGAGGAATGCAGATCATCTGCTGTTCTGCTAGGATGGCTTTCATAGACTGCTGCACAGTGTAGAGAGGCTCAAGGGGTGGAATTATGCTGCGAAGCTCTTTCCTGGTAAATGCAATACAGAGGCATTAAAGGACATACTGAAATGCAGCTTTACTTCATTTTTACCACCCAGCAAGCTCCAGTTGTGAATAATGGCATCTCACCTGATTTCACAGCCTGCGAACATCCCTGTGTCTACAATATAAGGACATACTAAAGTGGTTTTGATGCCATTCAGGTCTTCTGCTATCAACTCATGTGTCAGTGACTCGTGGAATCCAACAGCTCCAAATTTACTAGCACAGTAATCCTGTAGGGGGAAGTAGAAAGACCAGAGAGAGGAGCCTTTAAATGAGTTGTTGGGTCAGTTAACATACGCTTTGGAAATTATGTTTCTGCTGAACAGTCCTTTGCAGGGTACCTCAACACAGGCAGTGCTGAACAGTCCAAGTGCACTGGCGACGGTCACGATGTGGCCGTGATTTTGTTCTTTCATCCGTGGCAGGAACGCTTTCGTCATCTGTTGGGTGAAATTAGGAAGGTTGTAGCAGTAAGTGAAGCAGTAAAGCTTATCCTGGGGGCCAGGAACCATAAATCTTTGCTTAAAGCTCAAAATCGGATTTGCATACTTTATGTGTCTACAACTTTTCAGAAATTAAAGTGGAATTATTGTGCTTTTCCTTATTTTGATCTCGTGCAGTGATGATATTTAAAAGTATGCAAGCAAGTACTCAGACTCCAGACGGTTAGAAATGGCCTTTCTCACACTGTTTTTTTTGGCATTTGGCTCTGTGTGACATCATAGAGAAAGAGACATCAGCACCTGCACACAGCTCTGGAGCAAAGTATGCTAAAAGACTTAAAAATATAGGAGCTAAAAGGGCTTGTTTAAGACAGACGAGGAACCGTCAGGCTGCATCAGGCCAAGTTTGTAAGACAATTACAAAGTCCAACAATAAAAATATGGAGCTGCAAACTTGCACAGAAGCTCCTTTTAAATGTAATTTAAGAATGCTTTAAGGGCCATTTAATGGGGCAAAAAGTCAAGTGAGGACATTCCCAAAGAAATGCTATTAATGGCAAATGAACTCTTGATTAGACATGCAGAGAAAAATAGTTGACTCCAGGTAGGCTTTAGTGTAAAATAGCTTGTGTAAATACATACCAACCCCCCAAAACCTATGAAGATATGGGAATATGCACATGAAGGTTGGCTTTATTGTTTGGAGGATCTTGGTTTTGAAAACTGAAAATGGGATATTGTCGATGTTTCACAGCTTTATGACTTTAACTGATACTGTATTTGTGCTATGAATATGTATTCAAACAGTGAAACTTGGAATAAAAGCTAACACGTGGTTAAACAGGAGAGAAACAAGTCTCATTTGACGGATCAGGTGTAGCTTATTTGATAACAATAAAGAGAAAAGCCGCCCACCGTTTGTCTCTCGTTGATTTTACGCACATCCGCTTATTGCCACTTATTTTGTGAGCAGGAGATTGAGGCTTTAGGAGGATCAAAAGCAGGATCACATACCTAACTTGATGCTGGCTGGTAGCGTGTTTTTATTTATAAGGCATAGGCATATAAGGCATAACTCATGTACACATGGTACGTTATGTTATGATCATCATTATGACACATCAGTGCACAAGTCCAACCGGAACCAGCGAGGAGGACACTAAATGGGTGTTACATAACCCCTGTGAGACCGCAATTTCGCCCATTAATTTTTTTCTTTATAGTGGTGGTTCACGAATGTGTGCGTAAAAAAAAGCATCAGATCTCACCCAGAAAAGCGCGTGGCAGTTCACCAGCAGAGTCCTCTCCAGAAGCTCATCCGGACAGTCCAGCAGCCTCCGTCCAGCCACTACGCCTGCGTTGTTGACCATTATGGAGACATGCCCGACCTCCGCTCTCACCCGGTTCGCTGTCTCGTAAATGTTCCGACGCTTGGACAGGTCCACCGTGTAGGTGTGCACCCGGACGCCCAGTTCTCGCACCAGCCTGGCAGTCTGCTCGTTGGCAGCCGCGTTGCAGTCCCACAGCACCAGGTGCGCCCCCTCTTTGGCAAACTCCAGGGCGAACAGCCGGCCCAGCGCGCCCCCGGCTCCCGTGATCAGACACAGCTCCCCATCGATGCATTTAAGCCTCGGCCGAAGGAAAGTCTGCAGGATGGCGCTCAGGATAGAGCCGGTTAGGTCGATTAGCATCAGCAACAAGTCTACTAACACAATCATGACGCTTAGACACACCTGCTCCGTCTGCGTCCAGGAGAAGCCAAAGAGTCACACAAAAAAGAACGCCAAGCTTTGGAGTGTAGTTACCTCTCCGTGTGACGTTGGGGTTGGGGGCTTGTTTTATGTAACTGTGCCGGATTATAGGACGGTCGGTTGATGGCGGCCGCCAATAGAGCAGCTTTTTGTTTGATAAATGAGGAGCTGAGTGACTCACTCGAACACACTCATAAAGAGCGGCTGTGGGATTGAGGCAGGGATTACGATAACACTCAGTGGACCCAGAGTTATTGCAGTCTTTTACTTTCTAATGAGCTGTTATTTTAGTTTTGGGTTCATGTTTTCATCGTAGTTTAGAATCAAAAAGTTTTTGGGGGGAATCTGCTCGGTTGAGAATTTTATTCGAACATATAAACGCTTTAGTAGTCTCACTGTTGCTTTCGGTCATTTTAATACAATACGGTTTCTGTCGGCATTTATGACCATCGGAATAGGTGTTACAATGCAAACACTTGGCGAAGAAGACAGCTGACCTCGTCATGACGTAACAAATCAACAAACGTGCACGAGCCTCATCAAGCAGGCTGTGCAGTTTTGTAAGTTCACAAAAATGTTTATTATCTCAAGTGTAGATTTTATTTTATTTTTGTATTTAATTTAAATGAAATATCTTAAGAGTTTAACTTTCTTATATATTTTTTATTTTATATTGTAACTAAGTTATTAAAATATTTTAAAAGTATTAATTATTATGACTATTTTCTAATTATACATTTTGAGGTAAAAAAAAAATCTGTCCTCCTTATAATAAACAAACAGGGTCTTATTTCAAAGTGCGACTTATAACCTTTAGTTTAAACGTGTCACAGTTACTACAGTAAACGACTTTATGATATACATTCCTCTCCTTTTATCTTAGTATAGAAGTTATTCCTGATCCATGATGTGAGGTGGATTATCCAACTCTGTACAAAATGTTAAGCTGATAAACTGTTCATCATGTGTGCACAAATCTCTAATAAGTAGCGTTTTTCATAAACTCATATTCTTGGAATATTTTCTCGTGATCTGCTGTTTTTGTGTTATTGCAGTGCTCGTGTAACAGACGTGACTACTTCAGTTAAGGTTGTCGCTGGCGTTTACTGTAGCTTAATCCTTTTCACAACCTTGGTCATGGTGTAGAATGATGTAACATAACTTTTACAGTCACTGAAAAATAGTTTTTGTTGTTTGGTTATAGTCTTTAACAATTTCTTCTTTTGGGTGTTCCCTTTAGGGGATCATCTGCTTCCATCTCACCCTATCACTAGCATCTTCCTCTGTCACTCCAGCCCTCTGCACGTCCTCCTTCACTAGATCCCTGAACCTCCTCTGCGGTCGTCTTCTTTTCCTCCTGCCTGGCAGCTCCATATTCAGCATCCTTTATCCATTTTGTCCACTATCTCTCGTCTGCACATGGCCAATCCATCTCAGCCTTGCTTCTATAACTTTACTCCATACCACTCAACCTGAGCTGTCCCTCTGATACACTTATTTCTAATCCTGTCCATTCTGCTTGCTCCCAATGAAAACCTTAGCATCTTCAACTCTGCCACCTCCATCTGTCCTTTTTTCAGTCCCACCGCCTCCAAACATACATCATACCAAGGCTCACTATGATCTTGTAAACCTTCTTTTTAAAATGGTTAAACTATATAATTTTTTAGAGTGAACCTTCCATAGAAATCTCTACAGTGACAATATTAAAAGGGATTAGAAAATGAGATCATATTTCTCCTATATCAACTTCTCTTTATTGGCTCCCTGTTAAATCCAGAAGTGAATATAAAACCTGTCTCCTCTCATAAAACTCTTGAATAATCAGACCACATCATAACTTAAAGGCCCGATAATACCATATTGTCCAATCAGAGCACTTCGTTCTCAGACTGCACACTTCCTGGTGGTTCAGAGAGATCCTAAAAGTAGAATGTGGGACTTCCCATGATGCACTTCTTCTCCATTCCTGTCTTTGCACACCCAGTGTGTTTGTAACCCCACTACTGTATGTCATTAAATTAAATTGTGTCTCTGCTCTTTCCCATATTGTTCATATACTGCTTTCATACATTCACACTTACACTACAATGGATCCATTAGACCAAACTTGGGGTTGAGTATCTCACCAAAGTGTGGGCTCATTAGTCAAGCAAAAATATTGTTCTGGTCCCTGTGTTCTAATTGTGTTTGCTCCACTTTTGCTTCTTATGGAAGAAAATGGACAGTTGGATGCATATGTTTACCTTAATATCCACGTCACCTTAAGCTATTGAAAAATGCAATAAAAATAACAATAACTGTAAAAATAATCAACAAGTAATTAAGTGTTGATGTTGGTATTGGTGGTCATTGTTGGCACAGAATAGAAACTTCACTGGTCACTCATCATTAAAACTAGATGTACTGTCTTTGATGCAGGAAATACAGTTTGTTCTTCCATGTAAATTAATGGCATACTGGGACTGCTGTGGAGAGTTGCACCAAATCTGCTCAGTATTTCTCTATATGAACTTGCTGGTGAAAACCTCCACAACAGTCCCAGTTTCTCATGTGGCGTCATGGGGAACTTAACCTCCCACTCCTGAAAGTTTAGTCTGAGATCCGTACACATCTTAATGGATACGAAAACATACCACTAGAGGGAGCTATTGTATAAAACAAGCAGTGTTTGTCCTCGACCCTTTAGCTCAGGCTTGTACAATCACTGCAGTTTGCTGTCACACGTTGTTATGTATGGAGGACCACAAGAGCCACGCGCATCGAAATAAAGAATTCTGTGCTTAAATAATGAACTGTCTTACAAGAAGAGTGAGACTCGCGGGACCAACACTGGATTATTGTCTTTATTAAGCATCAGTCAGTAAAATGAGAAATCTGCTTCAAAACTGCTCATTATAGACATTTTCCTAAAGCTTTTTATTCTCTTTTCTTTTCTTTTTTTTAGATAATATTTACAAGTTCTGTGTGTCAAAGTTTCATAGCGCTACATGCACTGAACAATGGGAAATCACAAATATTCTACAAAGTCAACTGGTACAAAGTACTAAACTTTACAAAAGAGACATTTTCCCAGACACAGATGGGGCGACGTACAGACCTGTGTGAGTTGAACAGAATGATTATTTCCCTGAAGGAGGGGGAAGAAAAGGATTAAAATCAAATGAAGTGTCTGTATTTGGCTTGCAATGCTTACTCAGTGATCAAACTTGTGCTTTCTGGAGTTGTATTTGAAACAATGTGTAATTTTGTATTTTTTCAGTTTTTTCTTTGTTTGTGTTGTTATTCCTATTCTTGTTAAGAAGCAGAGGGCTTAATTTAGGCAAAATAAATAAAGTGCAGTTCAGAAAACAAGAAGAAATTATATAAAAAGCAACAAGGACATTGTTAACATTCATCCAACACAGAAAAAAAATATTCAAATAGACTATGGCTTGTTTAGAAAGTCAACTAGATTAGAGGCTCATTTTCCAAAATATTATTTACTGCATGTCTGACTGTTGAATGCTAATGAGCCTTCATTCTTCACCGTGTGACACATGCTCCCCCCTTTCCTTGTTCTGTTCTTATGTCCCTAGCACCTTCAGCAGCCAAAGTTATATGACCATTTGTCAGTTTGACATTTTTATTCTATTACAATGCAGCATTGGGCTGGGCTGCAAGAAAAAAAAAAAAAGCAAAGTAACTACACAGTCAGTGGTGTAGCTGTGTAGCTTCCTCCAAGCCACCCCTTTTGCCAGACTTGCAGGCAAAGTTTGTTCTTCAAAAACTGCATGACACCATCTGACCAAACACACTGCTGTAACTGAGCCTTTCCTGCAGGCTCAGACCTTTCCGGTGCATGCCCGGGATTGTATTTATAGACTCACTGAATTGAACACATCCTCAAAAGGTTGCCTCATCTGCCTGCTTTGCACTGTCATTCTTCACAGAAGACTCGAGCAGAAGGCTGGGCCTTGTAATGGAAAATGCATACGAGTGATATAATCTGACTGCATAACTCGGCTTCTTACTGACAGAATGTCAAGGCAGTTCTTTTGCCCGAGAGACGCTTTACTCTTCCCAAAAATGAGAGAAAAGAAAAAAGGAAATTTCTTTGTTAATACTTCCATGCTCTCCTCTGAACGATTAGCTTCTGTCTTTGTTGGTTATGAGGTGAAAGAGCAGAGGAACGTCAGTTATAATCAGGGTAACAGTTCTACTGCACAGCTAGGAAGCTGAAGTCTTTATTAACTGCATCACCTTAGTTCATACTCTGTCTGTCTGCTGTCTTGTAATTTGCGGGAATGTGTCTATGTTTCTATGAAAAAAAAAGGGAATATGTGACTGTTTTTAAGAGGCCCATAATCCAGTTTTCTGTTTACACATTTGTTTTGAAGCCTTCACCACACTTGAGTGACAAGCGAGCAGGGAACAAACTGAGAGGAATGAACAGAATGTGAATGCTGTCTGCACTCTCAATATGCTATTTGAGTCTTTAAGGACTCCATCTCTACAAATTCGACTACTTGCTTGCATCAAATCTGAGCCATTCAGTCATCTCAGCCATCACCATGGAAACAGTGGTTGTTCACTCTACCGAGCGAGTCCCCACCTGTTTGTTTGTGTGGACCGGGCCTTTTCCGTGCACCCGTTTGGTGCTTTTTGAGTGAAAGTGCACAGGAAAGACATGAGAGAAAGGGCTGTAGATATCCAATATATCAGTCTGACAGCATGATGACCCAGTTCTCTATGTGTTTATTCGCTGTTTGTTTTATTGTCATTCAGGCTCCATTAGACAGGGAACAGCGACAGATTCAGTGTGCAGAGTAGGCGTTCTTATAAGCAAAGGCACCAAAATATCTAACTCATATTACGTCTAATGACTGCAGACATTGCACAGCAGTGAATATTTCTTTTAAGCTTAAGGTCCACTACTGAAAACGACTGCTCGTAGCTGGCTTGCATGATATGTTGTAAGTTACAATAATATAAAACTGATACTTGCTTGGTTTCTGTAAGAAAGAGCATGAGAGCACCGGATGATCAACGCCCGGATCGCTCATGTGTCCGGTGATCA